ATCTCTATTCCCTCACTTCTGATTCGGAATACTGACGGTGACCAAGGTACCCTCGCATAATTCCGTTATTTTTCAATGATTCCACGTGCATCTCAACATTTTCACGGGGGCCTCTCGTGATAACACTCCCTTAACGGGGCGAGAATACCTCAAAGGGTACTACGATGTGACCAGTGAGATGGTGCAGAACAACATTGCCATCATTGAGGGGCTCGAAAAGTCGCCTCTCGTCGAAACCAAAGCACTTTCCGGTATATTGATTCCCAGAGCCTAAAGTCTGCATCCTCGACTACCATACCTTCCCACTAACCCTCTCCAGAAACCTGGCCATGGGGTGAATGGGACGCGGATCGCCCCGTGGCAGACACAATCAACACCGGACCGCACACTCAACCCCAGACTCTAGGCCCGACCCATTCTCTCAGAGATCTGGCTGCCGCTCAACTGTTCAGTCGCCTCCTCGCGACCGAAGACGATTTTGAACCCTCCATCCTTGACGAAGTCCGAGACCTGCCGGGCTTTCAGAAAGTGCTGAGGGAACACCTCCTCTGCCACTCGAAACAGGTCGGCCCAGCACAGACTTCGAGCCATTTACTCCAGCTGGCCTACGCTGGTGAAGACCTGCTGGAGTGGAACTCCTATGTGAATCTCACGGCCGAAGCAATCAAGGTCGCCCTTACGTCAGACGCACTGAAAAGCGCCACAGGGATCATCCTCACGATACAACGTCATGTTTCGCCCGCAGAACTCGTCGAGGCTCTCTCATCTCTTGATAGCCTCCACGCGCTACAGGTCCTGGACCGACCAGACCGCAAAGACGAACAGAGCAGCAACCAGTTGTTTGAGGCTCTTTCCAAGTCAACACATCCCCTGGCCATCAAGAAGCTCACACTCTCTGGCCTCTATGCTAACGGTATTCGCCAGAATATTTGGCGACCATGTCGGGATAACCCGGTGACCTTGGAACCATATCCACTGGTGCAACTTCTCGTGGCCCACGAAGGGAAAGACGGCGACATGCTGAAGTCGCTCGGCGGGGCTTTGGAGTCCTTCTGCCTCGGAGATGCTGCTTTAACCCCAGTCAAAGTTGCCACTGGCCTTTTCCAATACCTCATGACAGAAGTTCAAAGCTGGCCTATTCGCAATGGGACAGGTTTGGCCGTCGCCCACTGCTTCTCATGCAGCCCACCGGCCCTTGGCAGTGATTCAGTGGAGATTGCACCACTCCCGGCTGAGACCTACAAAATCGCCAAGGCGGCATGCCACTCGAGCGGCTTTGGAGGTTTGTATTCTAAGCTGCGCGACCTGACCCCTCGTGCCTGGACGGCGGTTGTTTCCGAGTCAAAGGACACTCACGACGCCAATGGTGTGACAACACAAACAACACACTTGCAATTCAAGTATGCATTTATACGCTCTAAGAAGGCTATCCCAGTCGACCCAGAAACCCGGCGAGGCTCTGATATCCAGCCATCTGAGATCGAAGTTGTTGATCTAGCGGGTTTCCTTCACTTGACCGCGCCTGAAATCGACACGAGCAAGCTTGCCCACCATTTTGATGAGCTTGACGCGGCCGTCGTACGCGCTACCGATGAAAGAAACCGCATCACCACTCCGCAGCACATCCCACTCTTGTCTCTTTTGAGCCCCGAGGAAGCATGCCGCTTGTTGAATCAATTCGTTGCTTCGGTGCCGGAAGTGCAGGAGGCTTGCGTGCGAATCAGCAGATGGGGCGGAGGTAAAAATATTTTCATATGCCTGAACTTGGAATCAGAGCTAATCGGTTCCTCTGTAGGACACTGGATACTCGACCTTGGATTCAACCACGATGGATAATCCCACATGGCAATGGCTCTGATGGCAAAGTAGCATGGACTCGTTGATGACGGGACTCCTTGGATCAGTGCACACACACACACAAACACAAATTTATTACGCCTGGTGGCCAGTGGGCCAATAAAGCACTATCTGCTTTGTACATGATCTCTTCCTTCGAGATGCCTCAAGATCTCAAAAGCCCATACAGTCTTCCTTCCATCTTTGCCTTGTGCGTTTCCATTTCTTCGCTGGGGTCTCGTAGGTTACTGTACCAATACCCTCACGTACCGGGTCCTGATAGTGGCCTATGGTGGATGGATGGATGTATTACGCCCGTTAGAGTCATGGGCAACTGCTGCTTAAATACATACTCCCTTCCGTCACGCATCTTTCGCTACTCGTCCAGCCGTTACATAATTTCCTGCTTCTTTTCCTCCTTGTGCATGGTCTCTTGTCGCCAAGTTCTCGTGGGGTTAGTAGCAAGTTGTCCGTGAAGGCGTCTTCTCCAGGTGCCCAGCTTCCTATCTTCAGCCGCTGGCGCGAACCTGCTGTCGTGGCACGAGGTGGATGGGTTAGTATGAGAGAGGGTGAGTGCGGTTGTGGGTGGGTTAAGTCGTCTGCCGTCCTTCATCAAGCCGTGCTGTTGCTATGGCGTGTTTGATGGTCGCCTGCACTGCTGCCATGTCAGGTGTCCAATCGTCCGCATCCGTCCGTGCCTTCCCTCCCAGGTGGAAGGACAGACTGCCTGTTCTCGCGCCAGTCTCTTGCTGCATCTCTACCCGTTGCGAGGTCCATCTCGTGCATCGGAAGAGAAAATGGTCTGCTGTTTCTACGGCCTGTCCGCAAGGGCATTTGTTAGAGGGTGCTGCGCCAATCCTCCACAGGTAACCGTTCAGTCGTATCATCCCCGTTCGTAGTTGTGCGAGCACTCTCGCTTGGGCTGCCGTCAGCGCATCGTATATCCTACGCGTGTGCTTTCCCGGTAGTGCCGTGCCGATTCTCTTGGAGTATTTGCCCACTTCGTCTGGTAGGGTCTGGCAGTCTGCTTGGTCCTTTCTCGCTGCCGCGAGCGTGGTTGATGCCGCCCGGTACGGACTTCTCACCGGCAGCTTCTGCGGGTTCGCGCTTCGTTTGGCTGCTCCCTTCGCTGTTCGCGTGAGGTCTCCTTCGGTCCCAGTGGGAATCCAGCGGATCGAGACGCTGTTTCCCCTGCTACGTAGCTTGCCGATGGTGGCATAGATGCGCCGTATGTCTTCCTGTCCCGACTGGTGGTGTGGTCGGCTGACCGCTTGCGTTGCTGCCTTGTTCCTGGTGAGTATCGTGATGTTGCCGTATTGGAGCTGTAACGGCAGCGCGTCCAGCGCTCTGCTCATGGCTGCAAGCTCGGCCGTGAATGGGTTTTGCTCATCCCGTGTGCCCAGCGTGGCCGCCACCATGAGCTGGGCGGTCCTCGAGGGCCGGAGAACTCCGCCGGATGCCGACCATTTCGCCCCTGATTGACGTGCTCGTAACGATGACGGTGCGACCTCTCCCCCCGCCCCTTTCGAGGGCTTCTGCTGCGTCCTCGTCCTGGATTCTCTCCACTCGTTCTTGCCACGGACCGAGCGCGAATGGGCAGATGACTTCCAGATTGTCGATCGGTACTCCCTCGTGTGACGCGGCGTGTCGCTGTAAAGGTGACGTGAACCGCTTCGTCATCCGCCTCTCCGTGGCTGCCAGAGGATGGTTGTCCGGGAGTGTGTTCAGGTTCACCCAGAACGTCGTGGCCCGCCTTGCCAGACAATCTTGACCCTGCTCACATTCTTCGGATCCACCGTCACCGCCTTGCACCTCCAACTGCAGTCCCCTTTCTTTGTCCTTATTTCCTTTTCCACCGCCGTCCTGACAGTGCCAGCGTTCACTTTGTTCTTGTCCGTCTCCTCCACGCGGGATGCGTCGATCGTGCAGAAGAGTCTGTCGGTGAAGGTCGAAGGCGTCGTGTTCATCGAGGTGACGGTTCGTACGTTGCTGGGCTGGCTCGTCGGTGGGGTCCTGGCGATGTCCGCGTACGATGGGTTCGGGCTGCTCTGTCCCGAGACGACCGCCATGACGGCGTCGAGTCTCTCCTGCATCTTTTGGACCTCTACCACCCCTTGCGCCTCGGTCGTTCGCAGTTCGGCTTTGATCGTGCCGATCTCGTCTTTGATCGCGCCAATCTCCTTCTTGACCGCGCCAAACTCGTCCTTGACTCTTCGCAGCTCGTCGCTGACTGCTCGTAGCTCTTGATTGAGCAGACGGTTGTCTTCGTGCATGGACTCGCAAATGGCCATCTGCGCCTGCCCCGCCTCAAGGGCGGTCTTGAGGAGCCCATTGTGCTCTTTCATCTGTTCTTGCAAGGCTTCGAGCGTCGAGTTGTTGTCCAACCATCCGACCTTCGATCGAGAACAAAACTCTGCATATTGAAATTTCGTGGGTCTATATGCAGAGTCTATCCAGCTCGCAACCTGAGGTACCATGATGAAGACGACGATAATAGCAGCAGTAGTCAGTGATGTGTGGCTTGATTGATTGCTAAATGGAATTCCGATTAGGATGTGACCACTCTTTGATCGATCCGCAGCAATGCCTGGTCAGCGTCCAGAGACATTAATAATCCAGCATAACGTGGAGCACAACAATAGGGATTGCTTGGATGTTCCCTCCCTCTCCATCTCTTATTTCCAGCGAAGAACATCGTGTGAAGGATATCGTGCGAGTCAACTGTTTCCCCGGCGCCGCTGTCGCTGCCGTCCCAAGCTCCTGATTTAAGAAGGGCGAGATGACGAGGTCTGCAGGATGCTATGTCAGATAATATCCCAAGGAAGTGGTCATATTGGTGGTACAGCCACTTACCAATTCTGCGAATAAGTGCACTGAAGGCAGAGAACATGAGGACAGTCCGATCCACCTTCAGGGGGGCCTATGCAGCCATCCATTCTGTTCCCTTGCTCGCCGCATTGGCAGCAAGTCCAGCCATTCCTTCTCAAATCTCTGAGATAACACTCTGGCTTGTCGCAGAGGCTCTCGTCGGCGACGGCAGTGATAGATCTAGCTCCTGAACACATGGAGTACTTGGCGGTACGCCGATTATAAGTCGCATCGGGGCAATAATCAGGGGCTGCGTATCTCTTGTGGCCGCATCGGAAGCGGCGGTAGGTTCGCCAACACATGACTTGGACGTCCGAATGACTTGACGGTTTTCTTTTAGGGACAAAAGGGAGCAATTTGGAAAAGCTTAAGAATTGACACGGTGGGTTATGTTGGAGTTTCTGACGTCGAACCTGCGGTGTTAAGGCAGTACTTATAGTCTTCCAAGTGAAGCGACCTTCCTCCCAGAATGAACCCTACGGTAAGCGCCCGTAGCTGCAGTCTGACCCTCACGTTTCAACTCTGGAAGTCTTGGAGACCGAGAAAAACGACCTCGTTTAATTTGGGCTGCCAACCCGAAGTGTCGGAGCCAAAGCACTCGACATAATCGTATCAGCCATTCTGCTTATTGGTCTAATATGAGCACACGACCGTGCAGGCGCGCGCTCCTGTGCACGATGTGGAAGCTTCATATCTAATTTGAATTGCTGTTGGCATTCTATGTCGTTTGATTCGCTAAGCAAGCGCTGTTCTTCCTGAGTTGTCACATCTGCCCGTGGCAATAGGGATGACGACCAGGGTCTCGTGTTCATGTTGTTTCAACACCCGATAGCCGCCAATCTCTCACGAACAAGATCCTAATCGCCAATGAACTTCAGGATGTTGGCCAGGCCCTCTGCATCGCCAGTCAAGGTCCCAGCAGACTGTTTCTTTACCCATCCCTCAGTATACCCACCACCAAAATCGATGACCCATGCGTCATCATACTCGTCGATTAAGACGTTGTCTGCCTTAACATCACCCCAAATGACACCAGCCTTGTGCAAGACTTCGACGGTCGAGCAGACCTGGTTCTTCCATTTGTGCCTCAAAGCGATAGGTATATGTGGCTTCACGGCGCAAGCTAACGTCCTGGCTCTGCAGTTGATATACGTGAGCAGAAGCCCGAAAACCACACCTCTTTCGTCTCGCACCAAACCATGAAGGCGCGAAATTCGCGTCTCCGGGTCGAGCACTGCCTCGCTAATCTTTCGGTAGGTGGTCAGCTCGCGTTTCGCGGAGTGCTGGTCTCCGGGTCTGAGTAACTTGAGGAAGAATAACGTTAGGCCCCCAACCTGTTTGACTTTCTTGGGCAGCCTAGCGAGCGCTTCGTCGGGGTTTTCGGCGCAGATCGCAAGATCTGATGGCTGAAAACATTGCCATGCTGAACACAGATCAGCTGACAGGGCGATACCAAGTCCAATCCGCTGTTTGTCGGCCTTGGTCGTCTCGCATAGGCTTGGAGATAGCTCACCCGCCGCTATCACCAAAGTGTAGACCAACGTCTCCGCGAAGAAGAAATCATGAAGGGTTGGTTCGACAAAGGCACCCGCGTCTTGTCCTGACAGGCTCCGAAGCACAGGTAGGAATGGTTCTATTACCCAGTCTTGAAAGTCGTCGACTGTCTGGCCATCCAGTTCGCCTTCCTCTGCCACCTTGAGGAAAAAGAGGTATTGTTCTTTCAACTGAGATGAGTCTGAAAAGTGGTCCTCGAGTAGGCGAATGACGAGCCGGCTGCCATTGCACATGACAACAAATTCAGAGTCCGTATTGTGATCACTAAAGGTAAACTCCGTAACTTCGTAGCGAGGCGCATCCTCGTCGGCCCCGGGATCTGTCACAGGGGCGGATACGCAAGCGCCATGGCCTGTTTCAGGGCGTTGGTCGAGCATTAATTCTGGTGCCGGCTCGCGGTTGAGGGTGGATTCGCTGGCAGGTGAGCTCACAGAGTCGTCAGGAGATAAGACTGGGTCGGCAGAGAGTCGTGGCGGGTTCGGTGTTTTGGGACATTCGGTGGTTGGCTCATCATGGAAGGAAGCCTGAGGAATCGGTTTCGTGGGCAAGAAGACAAGTGAATCTTGTCAAAGATGCCCTGTGGGACAACCTGTTGAGCGGGGTTGTCACGCATCACGTGTGCTAGTTTTCTTTTAGGTATAGCGTATTCTTTTTAGCCCCCTGTCATTGGTGGTGCCGAACCTACCACGACAGTGGCCCATTCAATCGCCCATCATGAACCCCATGAGCGTCACCCCACCATACTACCACTGGCAACAGTCTCCCTTGACAGATTTGATTCTTCTTCAAATAGCAGGCGAATGATGATGGCAACGCTCTGATATATTGCCCCCGTTTCTTCTTCGCCACAAACTCCTAGTCATCTTCTACTAGGCCCAATGTCAGACATCGTGAGCTTGAACTACATTGAGAAAAGACCCCAATGACACCTGTGTTCTGATCGCGAGTAGAAACAGTGAAGAGACGTTTGAAGAGTCCTACCGCGCCCTCGCAGACCTTCTGGCGCTGCCTCGCCGGCACGACCTCAAGGTCAATGTGCTGGCGCTGGAAGGATGTCAGCTCATGCTTCATGATCGTCGATAGCGCGGTTGATGTTGGTGTGTTTTTTGCGAAAGAGGGCAGTGAAGACGGCGCGCATGAACCACTGGCTTCACACCTGCCCAAGACGGCTGGCGGCGAAATCTTATTCACGTTACGCAGTCTAGACGCTATAGAGAAGCTCGCCGGTAGCGGTAGGACAATACTGCGCATACCAGTCATGAGGAGAAGCAGGCGCTACAAGTTCTGCAAAAGGAGCTTGACAAAGAAGTGGACGAAGCGCCTGCGATTGACCTCGTTTGCCCTCAACCATATCCCACTAGCGTCAATCAAGCATCAGCCTACATCAACAGGCGCAGTCCGCGAGGTACTCCTGCGTCGTACTTGATTGAGTTCCTCAAGAACTAAAGGCGCAGAGACGGCCTACTCCGCAGTGATGAAAGGGACCTCGGACGCCGCGATGGCGTATCTAATTCTGTGGTCGTAACGTCGCAGGTGACGTTCGAGCAGATCAGGGGCGAGCGCCCCCAGGCAGCCAAATTACTGTCTTCGATGAGCTTCTTTCAAGCTCAGAACATACCGGAGAGTGTGCTGCACGCCTACGATGACGCTGAGAGCGGAGAGGAAGTAGGTAACCGGCGAAGCGGTGAAGACGCAGACGCCGATACCGACGATGTTGACACACTAGAGACTTCGAGAACGACATTGGTGTACTACGGGGCTATTCGCTCATTACTCCAACAGCGACAGGGCTCTACGAGATGCACTCTCTAGTCCAATTCTGCACCCGTTCGTGGTAGATTTGAAGACGTCAGTGGTCGAGAACCAGTTTTTAGGCTGTCCGCCTTACTGAACGCAAGTCTTTCCGTGTTACGATTGCTATATACGGGCTAACGATCGTCAGGAATTCAACAGCGTTGCGCAAAGCTCCCGCTCCGCAAATTAACATCACTACATAACTCTGTGACAAGAGACGGTGGACTGCTGGATCAAGGTCTTCAAGGCCCTGAGCTGTCATTTCGGCCTGTGTACGGCCAACATGTGAAACCGTTGACCAATTGAATCCCGGAATGACCGAGGCGCGATGCACTCATTCTAGCGACAGAGAGCAATTCGCCACTGAGGTTTGTTCTCTGATTCAGGTGGACATGATCAGATTAAGAACCGGCCATTTTACGCTCTTGTTCGTGTGCTCTACTCTTGCGGCCGTTGCTGATAGATGTGTGATGGCTGGTGGCGGGTGATCTTGGGTCGCCTAAGGTGGGTGTCGTTGGGTGATTGAGCCACCACCATGAGGCGTAGGTCTCCAACAAACCCATCCAACAAGATCTGGGCGCACGCTGCTTAGCCCAGAACCCAGAACCAGTGCTAGGCAAAGCAGTTTCTGGCTTCAATCTGGTACTGCGCAGGGGAGAATCTCAAAGTAGAGGTACGATTCGGGACGTACCGTACATTGGACCCGAATTGAACGCGGTGTAACGCCTTGATGAGGGCAGTTTTGGCGTTTTCGAAGTACTTCGAGATCGTCCAAGGCAGCCCAATGTGCTGCTCAAGACGGAGGCCCCTCTTGTAGAATTCCGACAACGGCCATGCGACTCCAGCTCCCTCGGCTCCAGTCGACCTGTGCACCATTCGGCTTGGGTTGCCCACAGGAACAGGTGGCCACTACAGGTGTCTAATGCCGTGACGCGTTTGTGCTATTAAGAAGAATGGGAAGGTACTAACCTGGAGTTACTGTACTCACAGTCTTTCTCTCTGTTCTAATTACATGGAGGCATTTCTGCGGCTTGTATTCTATCTCGACGCCTTGCACAGTATTGCGAGCTGGTTCAGAATAGACGAAGAGTCACGACTGGAACTCTGCGACAGTAAGGCGGATGTTTGCTCCAGTTGCTCAACTGCAGGCTTACAGAAACCCCAGTTGTACTAACTTATAATCGCAATGACCGCAGTATCCACACTCCTTGTCACACGCCGTGAAGTCTTTGACGGAGTCATGCTCAGAGCCGTCATAGTCGTAACGATCTTCATCGCTGTCATAGCTCCACCAATGTGCTTTGTCGTCGCTTTCCAGATCGCCTCTCGCACTCTCCGGCCCTGAGCCATCAGCAACTTCCAGACCCTGAAGGATTAGTTGTCTGTAAGACTCAACATCACTCTTCCTTTGAAGCATTACATAAAGAACCTCGACCAGACAGTCTCGACCGGTTGGCATGCTGAACCCTCTCTGAGAGACTTCGTCAAGAGCTGCCATAGCCACGTCCTGCAGCCCGTTTTTTTGATCACCAGACACTGGGTTGTCAGCCGTATTGCAGTCAAGGAGAAATCCTAATATTTCAGGCCCTACAAGACATTCTCTCCACAACTCGTCCAAGTCTACACGGACATCTATGTCTACGGGTAGAATTGTTGTCTGAAGCGTGTCGAAAGCGAGGACTCCAATGACTTTGCCTTTGCCGCCAGGCTTTCGCTGACGCGAATGAAGGGCAGCAAGGATCTGATTCATTGGTGAATCGTCGGTCTTTGTAGGTGAAGATACACCTAACCCAGGTTGTCCATCGCCTCCACCCGAAGACCCCCTTGCACTTGACGAAGACTCTGCAACAACTTGGCCCAACCTGAATGTTGCGGGTGGTGGCAAAGTTGGACGTGGAAAGCCCCCCGTAGAAGGACTGACGACCGGCTGCTCTTTTGGAAATCTCAGATGGAGGTCGATGTCCCTCGAGGGTCTGGCGAGGGTGGCTCGCCAATGGTGAGAGTTGATAGGAGATTTTTGGTAGAGGTTCAGCTCGTAAAACTTGTCGTGAATGCCACATCTGAAATTTTTGTATCTTGAAACCTGATGTAAGTTTCCAGCTGCGGACGGTTTGGGGCATGACATCGTGACGTACGAATTGACCTTCTCAAAGTTCGCTTGTAGAAGCTGCTCTTCTTGTATCTCCGCATATTCCCTATTGGAACCGAGCGAGCAAAGTAACGAAGGGATTCTAGCGGACCGTAGTTGATCTGGCGGACCAGTTGGATGGAATGTGAAGTTTCCGGGCAGGCTTCTTCTCTGCGAATGTCATCTTTCTGTTCATTGGCCCAGGCGAGGAAGCCTGAGAATTTCGACTCATGGTCGAGGGCCTGTGGTCGATATGGTTGGATAGCGCCACAGCAGAATAGGGAAGAATCCATGATCAAGAGCACCTGGGTATTAAAAGAAGCCAAGAGTTTCGCATCAGGAGGGAAGAGGGGTATACTTAAGTAGCTTGAGTTCACACGGGAAGCAGACGACGTCTACTTGACGTCATTACATCGCTTTGGTTGTAGCTTGATGCGTGGCTTCCGCTAGCTCATGCTCGTATCCAATGACAGGCAGGACAGCAAGGAACTTTGTAGAGCAGGATGGTGGAGGACTACTTTGGGCACACTTCGTACGACCAACAACAACAGAGACTGGGGTCAGCTGAATCATGAGCCCCAGGATGGTGTTGTGCATTTTGATCTTGGTGCCGAAGCTTTGACGAAGATACATCGTGCGTTCTTCTAAGCCTTGGGCGCAGGAATAGACCATGGTGCCCAGCCTTCAGATTGATCAGATGTGAGCACACCAACACGGCCCATACTGTACTGATGTTGACGCTGTGGCGTATCTGCCAACTCCCTTGCCTAGTCTTGATCCCGCTTGCTCTCGGTCAGGTTTGGTGGAAGCTAGCTCGACCCACACAACTGGCTGACCTAATCGTTTCTGTGAAGTGTCCAGATCTGGGCCCTGGGCAGTATTAGACTCATATTTCGGCTTGTATGGCCCGTGCTCAAAGAGATCAAGACCTGTGTGCATTTGGCCGAGCAGCAGCGGCGAAGAGAAACATGGCAGCGAGAGCCGAAGCAGCGGGAGGCACAGAAGCAAGAGGCGGAGCTGCGGAAGAGCACAGCACGTGAGGAGTCCAAAAGGTCAGCAAAGACACAGTCGACAACCACGTCTCAGAACGAAGGAGGCCAACATCGGCATTACAAAACGCCTTCCTCATGTCAACATATGAGGTGGTGGAATCGCAAATTCCATCAAAGAGCTTGTGGGTCATGCCGCCGTCATATGCCTTATTACACTTTTCGTTGCCCTGGCTGCAAGATTGTTGCGTGTGCTGGCTGTCGTGACCTTCTCAGGCAGGCGTAGGCAAGAAGTCAGGTGATCGAAGCGGTTAGGGGTTTGAGATTTAGTAACCATAACACCATATCGATAGTTTTACAGTATGAGGGAGAGGAGAGTACTTCGTTACAGCATTGCATTATGTCTGGTATAACATCGCAGAACGACCACCGCAAAGCACGCATAACTCGTTGCAGCGCTACCATATGGACGACAGATAAGTGATCCTGGAGGGCACGGGTTCATTGTACCAGAGGCCTCCAGTAGACTGCGCTTTTGATTGGTTCGCAGCTGTCTCTTGCTGCGCTCCGCAGCAGGCGGGAAGACTAGTCCGAGCTGCTGCCTGCCGTCCGTCTTCGAACCTCCCCCACTTCTTCGGCGCATTCATTGATACTCTTGCAAGATCTTCGCAATATTCTCAGCTCATTTTGAAATGCTTGACCCCTTTCGGAATTATCGGTGTTGTTGTCGTGGCCGGCCAGATCATCTCGACCGTCGCCAATTTCGGGCTGGACTGGAAACACGCCCCAGCTGATACCAAGTCCCTCCTGGTTGCGGTTGGGGCTCTGAAAACGGTGCTTTCCGAGACGAATATGAATATGCTTCTCAACGATGACTTTAAGGATGTCTTCCACGGTCGGCATTCCACGCTCCTTTCGCAGCTTGGAGATACCGTGCCGGTCACAGACACCAGCATGCTGGTATCAGCATGCAAGAAAGAGCTAGAGATCCTCCTCGAGGACTTGCAGAAGCGAGTCCAGGGTCATCGAATTGGCTGGAAAAGGATGAAAGGAGCATTCCTAGCGAAGAAGACTAAAGAAGCGGTCCAAAACCTTCATCGACAATGTCAAACCTTGAACACATTGATGGATATGGATGCCCTTGCAATCGGTGTAAGCATCCACAAGGAAGTCAGAGAGGCAAGAAGAGAACAGCAGGGTTGGCATGCAGACAAGGAGTGCAAGGCCATCATCGATTGGCTCACTATGATTGATTATGGCCCTAAGCAGAGCGATTTCATTGCAAGGAGGCAAGGAGGCACTGGACAGTGGCTTCTGAG